CACTTTGTTTGTAACTCTGTATTGTCTGTACTGTTCTTTTGCTATTTTGTAAAAGGTTGTCTGTCTGTTAATGTTTTCCTCCTTTTATTTTTAAAATTAAAAAAAAAAAAAAGAAGAGCTTTGTAAGGGCCGTGTGCCAACATCCGGGTTCAGTGCTGTTTTATGCTCTCTCTTTTAACCCTCACATCAATCTAGTGAAATAGGTGCATTACTTTATTTTATGGATGAATTAATAGAAGTACCCTTTAATTTTCAAAGTGGCTTGGACACTTCAGGCTATATCTATGGTTAGTTATGAGCAAGTTGACCTCTCTGGAAAATTCAGTTCTAGTGTTAAAGTGCCGGTGTTACTTAGACGTAAAATATGGAATATTTAAGTGTGAGCAGTTCAAAAGCATTGCATCATACAGACTTGACTAAACTATCACAAGCCTAGTTGTAATTTGATGTTTCTGAGGGAAATGAATAATTGAATCTGGTTATTTAGAACTCAAGATTGGCTTAGTTTTAAAATCTTGATATTGATTGTGCCCTAGTGTTTTATAACTTACGTAGAGATTTCATTAGTGTAATTCCATCTCTATGCTCAGCTTTTATATTTGCATTTTCTAACAAATCCTCTTGTCTTTTTAAGGATCAGTGGTCAATTGGTCGGGGCAAGGACTACAGAAATTAGGTCCAAACTTACCATGCGAAGCTGATATTCACACCCTGATTTTGGATAAAAATCAGATTATTAAATTGGAAAATCTGGAAAAATGCAAACAATTAATACAGGTGGGTGTGGCTATCTAGGGAGTAGTTACATAGGATTAATTCATTATTAAAACAATAAAGTGCCCTGACAAAAAGTAACTCTTTAGGCCTGGACAGCAGTAAGTGTCGCCTTAAACTTCTACATGACATTTTCTCCTGAGGATAACACAAGTGCTACATTCAGAGTGGACTAGAAAAAGAAGCACTGTTAAAGAAAGAAGACATTTTATGTTGGAAAAATATTGTGTTGCTAACTTTTTACCTAATGTTGGGAGTAAAGAGTTCATTCATTTAAGAAGTGTTTATTAGTTTGTTTTTTTTTATATGCATGGCACTGTTCTAAGATTTTGACTAAGACATTACAAGGACCCCGCTTTTGTGGTGCTTGTATTTCCCCTTATTGCTATGATAAAAGGATCTTTAATACCCAGTTGCAGGAGGTCTGAGCAGTCAGCTCTGTTGCTTAGAACAACAACAAATAACTAATAATTGTTCTATGGATGATGGGTTTTGTTAATAAATATGAAAAGTAAAAATTATGTTTGCTTGTTTGGACATGTTTGACTTCTTACATTTCTGTACCCATCATAATGTGAAAGTAGTATACTGTTCCTGGGAATAATCATATGTTTCCTTTCCAGTTGTCCGTGGCCAATAATCGGCTGGTGCGGATGATGGGTGTGGCCAAACTTACCCAGCTCCGTGTATTAAATTTGCCTCATAATAGCATTGGCTATGTGGAAGGGTTAAAGGAACTAGTACATTTGGAATGGCTGAACTTGGCAGGAAATAATCTCAAGGTAAGTTTGTTTTTGTAATGAAAAAAATTACAAATTTGTTTTCTGTTAAAAAAAAAAGAGATTCAAGCAGTATAGAAGTAACTATAGAGTAGCTGGATGTGGTGGTGCATGGCTGTAATCCCAGCACCTGGGAGGCTAGGGCAGGAGGATCACCATGAGTTCAAGGCCACCCTGAACTGAATAGTGAAACTCTGTCTCAGAAAGACAAAACAATAAAAAAATTTTAAAAAGAAAGAAAGAAGTAGAATAAAAATGGAAGTATCCATTTCCATTCACCAGGAATAATCTCTAACTAACATAAGTTTTTAAAATTCTATTTTGAAGCATATAATATAGTGTAGTATTCTCTTAAGCATGAACAAAGAATCTGTATTATATTTAGGGAAAAAAGTAGGTCAAACAATAGAAGAATGGTGAGCAGAAAAATAGTATCCTGCTGAGTTAAACCTTAAGTAAATGCGTAATGGCATAATGGAGAAGTGGATCTGGATCCTCGTCCTGTTTACCACCTAGTGACTAGATTGTTGTGGGTAAGTTAGTAAATTATCTCTGTGTCTTAATTGTTGATACGATGGGTGGGTAGACTAGACTGAATGATAGTAATAGCTGCCTTTTACCGAGCAGTTAAGTTATGCCAGGTAGTCCTCTAAGCACCTACTGTGGACTGACTCGCGGACGGTCGTGACAGCCTGGGTGGTAGGTGGACCAGGAGCTACTTTGCCCATTGTGTACATGAGGAAACGAGGCTCAGAGAAGTTCAATGATTTGCCTAAAGTCGCACATCTAGGAAGTTGTGGAGCCGGGATTTAAATCCCCGCTGTTTGGCTTCATTCCAGACCTGTAAACTCTGTTCTGTACCAGCTGTCATGTCACTAGCGTTCTTCAGGCCGTCACTGTCTGGGAAGCTCCGAACTGGTGGGTAGTCCGTCCTCTTAGAAGGGTAATGGCTGTGGGAGCTTGTGACATGGTGGTTTACCCGCATTACCTCCCCTTATTCTCAGTCAGCTCTGCTTCTGAGAATAACAGGAGGAGACAGAACACCTTTGAGCTACAAAAACTAAGGAAGAGTTTTATTTTTTAAGTACCTTAATGTGATAATTTTCTTGTGCTAGGCAATGGACCAAATCAACAGCTGCACGGCTTTGCAGCACCTGGATTTATCAGATAATAGCATACACCAGATGGGTGACCTATCGAAATTGATAGCCTTGAAGGTAAGCATGTGTTCTGTCATTTATGAAATTTTTTCCTAGATGCTAAGAGAATGTCATCCAATTGGCCTAAAGTCTACCTCCTGTGTATGAAAACAGATTGTTCTATGTATGAGAATTCTCTGAGAATTTAGTGTGGAACTTTTTGTTCTATAAGAATTCTCTGGGAGTAGCAGACATTAAGTATGGGATTTTTTGTTATTAGTTTTTCTTTCTTTCTTTCTTTCTTTCTTTCTTTCTTTCTTTCTTTCTTTCTTTCTTTTTTTAATAAACTGAGTCTTGGTGTGTTGCTCCAGCTGGTCTTGAACTTCTAGGCTCACATAATCATCCTGCCTCAGGCTCCTGAATGCCGGGACTACAGGCATGTGCCCCCATGCCTCGCTTTGTTGCTAGTTTCTATGACGGATTTGTTTCATGTAAAGCTGGTCCTTGTAGTTCAGTCAATTCTTATTTACCATCTTCTAAATTTGATGGCATTCCTTTCTCACTCTACACAGTGTTAGTGGCTTTGGTTATATAGTCCATAACAGGTCTGAATATAACCTCTCGTGATGTTGAGTTTTTTTGGTTTGTTGGTTGACTGGATATTTTTTGGTTTTTGTTGTTTTTGTTTGTTTTTTTGAGACAGGGTATCACTACGTTGCCAGGGTGATCTTGGACTCCTGGGCTCGGGTGACCTTCCCTCTGCAGCCTCTCAAGTCGCTGGGAATGCAGTGTTCCTGGGATTATAGGCACATGCCACCTTGCCTGGCTAAATCTTTTTTTTTGGAGGGGTGGGTAACAGGTTTTGTTTTTTTTTTCTTTTCTTGTTTTTGTTTTTTTTGAGACAGCCTCACACTATGCAGTTCAGGCTGGTCTTGAACTCATTTTGTAGACCAGACTAGCCTCGAACTCACAAAGATCCTCCTGCCTCAGCCTCCTGAGTGCTGAGATTACAGGCATGTGCCACCATGCCTGGCAGCTTTTCTATTTTGTAGACTAGGTATTAATTAAAAAATTAATTTCACTTTAATTCAGAAAATAAACGTATAACGCATGAATATGGAGGAGATGTATCATGCAAAGAAATAACAGAATCATGGCTTTAAAAAACTTGTAGGGCTTTTTCTGTTTTTTTTTTTTTTTTATTGGGTATTATCAACATCAGGTGGACTCATTAAGCCTTAGAACAGTATCTTAGCTGTTTTCACTGCATCTTGAACAGCAATCATTTTTAGTAACATTTATTCTGAATAATCTACTATAGCTAAATGCAGTCCTGATAGATGCTAAGAGAATTTAAAAGAACTAAAGATGACTGAACTATTTTATTTCTTCTTGGAATAGAGGCGTGATCATCTGATCACAACCCTGGGTGGTCAGTCTTGTTTATTCAAGAGTTTCCTGTTTCTGACTTAATGTGAGTCCGCTTCATCTACAAGTAGCACGTTCTCTCTTTTCCTAGTTTTTAGTGACCAAAAGAATATACTTGTAATACATGGGCTATAGCTTGTCTCTTAACTCTTTTGGAAAATTGGCTTTATATGTGATTGTTTTAATGGCCTCTTTTTCACTTTTATGACCCTCTATTTTAGTGGGGTTTTTTGTTTTGTTTTGTTTTTGAGACAGGGTCTCACTGTGTAGTTCAGGCTGGCCTGGACCTCACTGTTCAGAACAGGGTGGCCCTGCATTCACTATGTAGTTCATGCTGGCTTCAAACTCGTGGTGATCCTCGTGCCTCAACCTCCCATTGCTGGGATTACAGGTGTCTGCCACTATGTCTGGGTATTTTGGTTTAAAAGGAAATGAAGAAGTGTGTTGGAATTTGCTCTGAGTCTAGTTATTTATATTTCACAGCATGCTAGTTGCTATATCAAGCATGTGTTCAAATCTTTTTTGTTTTTTGAGACAGGGTATCACTGTGCAGTTCAGGCTGGCCTTGAACTCACTTTGTAGCCCAGGCTGGCCTCAGATTCATAGCAGTCCTCCTGCCTCAGCCTCCCAAGTGCTAGGATTATAGGCATGCACCAACAGGCCTGGTCTCTTAGACAAATCTTTAATTTTTCTTGAGTTGAAGATGTTGATGTGAAAAGAGAAAGTTAACAAAATCAGCTAGGGTCTTTCTGAATATTAATAATCTTTGATTTATATGTAATGAGAAGTATAACAAAATAGATCCCTTTATTTTTACACATAACATTGTGATGTTGTCAAAATAGATCCATTTATTGGTAATCTACTCATTTGTAATTCATACTGTTTTTACTTTTAAGACCCTGCTTTTACATGGAAACATCATTACTTCTCTTAGAATGGCACCTGCTCATCTACCCAGAAGTCTTGCTATACTTTCTTTGGCAGAAAATGAAATTCGAGATTTAAATGAGGTAAAATTTTATGCTCTTTATAGGGTCGAGGAAGCTGGAAAATCCAGGTGAGACATAAAAGTTTGTGAGTTCGCTTTTAAACCTTGAACATCTTGGAAGAAAATACTATCAAGATAAAATACTTAGTTCTAGATGATGATTATTTTTCTCTGTATTTTTCCTTGATATCAGCTGTCCATGTGTCGTTAAGGCCTCTTTTCCCTTGTAATGCTGCAGTTTGCGTCCTGAAAGGTGATGGTGGACGGACTCCTGCGTTGCTGGGGTTAGTGGCGCACCCCGTCCACCCTCCCCTGGCTGTTCCTACGTTTCCAAGATGGGGTCGTCCCTGCTGGGAAGTAGGCCTGGGACTTTCTCAGTGACTTGCTGCAGCAAGGGCAGATGACCTCATTGCTGGAATTTTGGAAGTCAGTGGCTCTTGTTGCTTTTCAGAACAAGAGGGAAATTGATGCACTCTCAAATGCTGCCAGAGATGTGCAGTCCCCAGAAGCCCTGTGCGTGACACTGAATCGTCTGTTTTGCTCAGCACAGACGTCCTCTGTTCCAGGTCTCTTTTTTGGCATCCCTAACCGAGCTGGAGCAGTTATCCATCATGAATAACCCTTGTGTGATGGCAACACCCTCCATCCCGGGGTTCGACTACCGGCCGTACATCGTCAGCTGGTGCTTACGCCTCAGAGTCCTCGATGGATACGTTATTTCTCAGAAAGAAAGGTGAACATGCCCTCTTCAACGTCGTAGTCATGAGAAAGCCATCCCTAACTTACTGTAGATCAGATTGAATCTTACTTGAAAATACGTTTGGGAATGAAGAGCTTTAGTGCAGTCGTATAACAGACTGTGTACTGGTCGTGTAGAACCGTCTCTTCTTTTTCAAAGTGGACAGGAAGTGGCTGCAGAGGCCGGGCTGGTGAGTCCGATGCAGTCCCCAGCTGACAGCAGGTGGGTTTGGAGAGGTTTCTCACTCATCTGTCCGGGACATGGGACACTTGTGCATCGTGTGTGATTGAGGGTTAGCTGCGTGCGAGTGTATAGCATCACACAGAAGGGGAGTAAGACTTCTTAGAACCTCTCAGAATACTGACTCTAGGAACATGTCGGCCTGCTGGTTGGCCCTTCCCTTCCCGTGCCTGTGAGCCGGTGCACGTGCGAGCTTCCCCGTTTCTCAGTTTCCCTGGTCTGGAGCGGGGGTGCCCACTGGGGTCAGAGCTGCAGGGACGGTGAGGAGCGAGGGTGTGAACGTGACAGTGGAGAAGCGGGAGAATGAGTTGTTCTCTTTACTGAAATGAGTTGTTCTCGTTTCACTTTCCACCCTGCGTACACATGTGCATGCGTTCATTTATCCAACACGCGCCTTCTCCCTCACTTTTAAAAATGATTATTACCTTCAGGCCAGTTGTGGTGGCGGACGCCTGTAATCCCAGCACTCGGGAGGCTGAGGCAGGAGGATCATTGTGAGTTTGAGACCAGCCTGGGCTACAAAGTGAGCTCAAGGCCAGCCTGAACTGCATTGCAAGACCCTGTCTCAAAAAAATAAAAAAAAACCCCAAAAACCAAAAGAAACTTTTACAGTGTTTGCTTTATTTATTTACTTTACTCTTTTAGTAGTGGGGATTAAACCCAGAGCCTTGTGCACGCTCGGAAGCGCTCGTCCACTGAGCTATATCCTCAGCTCTTCGTGTTTTATTCTGGGACAGAGTCTTGCTAAATTGCCTATGCTGCCCTGGAAGTTTCTATCTTCCTGGCCTGGCCTCCCAACCAGTTAGGATTACAGGTGTATGCCCCCGGCCTGACTTTCACCTTTCAATCCCAGCACTTTGGGAGGCTGAGGCAAGAAGATTGCAAGTTCAAGCTCAGCCTGGACAATTTAGCAAGACTTTGTCTCAAAATAAAAAAGGCTGAGGGGTTTCCTGACGGTAGGATGAGTGTCAGAGTGTAGTGCTTTCTGCTGCCTTCTCCTGCAGTTCCATTTGGTTGCTGAGTAGGGCAGAGAGCAGGAGGCACGGCAGCCGGGAGCCGGGCAGGGTGTGCGAGGGCGGAGTGCGGCGCGGATGCCTGGTCGAGTTTGCCCACAAAACAAGGGTCTCTTCCCCTCTACCCTGCAGCAACTTGGTCTAAGTGGAAGTCATATTTTGCTTCAAACTGACCAGTCCTAAAGGTAGAACATGGGTGTACTTGAGTTATCTTCTCTGACCTTCCTGTAAGAGAACATTGGAGTTTCTGCAGGACCGACAGCGTTTTCACATTTGAGGGCAGCCTGCTGGTGACCTTCCTGCAGTTTGGCCAGCCTCGTGCCCAGCCTTGTCTCAGTTACATACCTTCATCCCCTCCTCCTGTGTTGTTCTGAAGCACATCTCAGATTGCATGTCACCTGTATTTCCTTGTATATCTCTAAAAGGGAGGAGTTCCCAGGTGTAACCACAAAGCTATTATATCTCAGAAAAATTAAGAATTCTGTAATGCTTTAATAACATTAGATGTTTGCTCAGAACTTACAATTCTAATCTTCCTTATAAATGGATGCACGCATCTATGTCCTGTCTGTCTGTCTCTATCTGCAGTGCTGGGGATTGAACCCAAGCCTTGTGCATGTTAGGTTAGGCCATCTCTGAGTTAAACTGTCAGTTCTTCTTCTTTTTTTTGTTTTTTGAGACAGGGTTTCACTATATATAGTTCAGGCTGCCTTGAACTCACTATGTAGCCCAGGCTGGCCTAGAGTTCACAATGATCCTCCTGCCTCAGCCTCCTGAGAGCTGGGATTGCAGGCATGTGCCACTATGCCTGGCTCTCCTCAATTCTTCAATGCATTTTTTTATTTGTTGTTTTGATACAGGGTCTCATTGCGCAGTTGAGGCTGACTTTAAACTTGGACTCCTTTCCTGCTTCAGCCTTCTAGGTACTGCAGTTACCTGTGTATATGATCACGTCCAGCTTTTAAATGCTGTTTTTTAAAAAAAGCATTTTCATGCTACTGGATATGGACCATGAGTCTATCTTACTGAGCTACATCTCCAGTCTCTTTTTATTATTTATTTTGAGAAGAGGCCCTGCTAAGTTATCCAGGCCGGGCTCGAACTTGTACTACTCTTGACTCAGCGTCTCAAAGTGCTGGGATTGTAGGCACGTGCCACCATGTATGGCTTCCATGCATTTTTAAGATAAGGTTCAAATAAGGTCCTAAATTGCAGTTGGGATATTTTTCGTGAGTTTCTTTCTTGCTCTTTTTGTTAGTGACTTAAGACATTACTTTATTACTGTTGCAGGCCTCATAGGTTGTCTGCATTGGTTTGAGGCTTAGGTGCTTCGCATCATAACACGAGGGGGCGGGGGTCCCCTGAAGGCTTGGCTTGTCTGGATGTCCGAGTAGACTCCGTTAGGTCTCTGAATCTATCAGTTACTCATTTTTTTTTTTTTAAATCACTTTGGTGTGCTTTCTTTCTTTGGAAATTCTCATTCTTTATTTACCAGTTTTCAAAAGAGTTGCTGGTTCACTAGCATCCTATATGACCAGTTAACTTTTTAAAAAACTGTCACTATGAAGCCATGATTTAAAATGCAATTTCAGTGGTTCAGTTCGGTTGCGAGCAAGATCACGGGAAGACTTAAGCTCATGAGCCATGGTACCACTCTGAGGCGGTCAGGTACTTCAGCTTGTCAAAGTGAATGGAGAGAGAACTCACTGCTTCTTCAGAGTAGTTTAAAAATACTTGAAATCATTAGTACAGCCTTGTGGAAGTGCCCCTAAGTGTGAAAAGAGGTTTCGGACATAGAGTAGGAGAAGTGAGTCGGAAGAACAGATTTTTATAAAAGCTTGGGTGAATTGTATTTATGGAAAATATCCAGTGGTTTTGATAAGGTACATTAAGAGGAAGATCACTGTTGCTTAGCAGAGTCTTGTCCACCCTGGTACCACCCCCCTTGTTTATTTTCCTGAATTCCAGTTTGAAGGCTGAGTGGCTCTATAGCCAAGGCAAGGGGCGAGCATATCGACCTGGCCAGCACATCCAGCTTGTCCAGTATCTGGCTACAGTGTGTCCTCTCACTGCTATCCTGGGGCTTCAAACTGCAGAGGATGCCAAACTAGAGAAGATTCTGAGCAAACAGAGGTGAGCACATTTATGCGTGGCAGCTGACGGATTCACAGGTGAAAATAGCTCCATCTTTCCTCCATGGTAGGTCGGAGGCCCTGCTTTGGCCCAAATCTCTGGGCACTTGGGCCTCTTGTCACGGTAGCGGGCCTGCAGGAGGCCGAGCCGCACGGTGCAGCTTGGCCCACAGTCGCCGTGTTGCTGATCACCTTTAGAACAGAGAGCGCCGAGCAGTATGTCGTGAAGAAATGAGATTTTCAGATATATAAGGCCGGGGTGCAGCTCAGTGGCACGAGTGCCTGCCTGGCAAGTGCAAGGTCCTAAGTTAGCTTCCCGGTACCAAAAACAATACATTTATAAGAAAAAGTATGTGTGTGTGTATATATATATATATATATTTTTTTTTTTTTTTTTTTTTTTTTAAATTTATCTATCAGGGGCCAGGGCATAGACCAGTGATAGCTTGTCTAGGATGCCCTGGGTTTGATCCTAAGCATCTTAAAAAATGTATTTGGCCTTGTAATGTAGTTGTATAATACAGGTGTTTTTTTTTTTTTTTTATTTTTTTTTCCCGTACTGGGAATCGAACTCATGACCTTGTGCTTGCCAGGCAGGCGCTGTGCCGCTGAGCTAAATCCCCAGCCCTAATACAGGTTTTTAAACACTTAAGAAGCATAGCTTGAAGCATTTAATAGTGATTTCTTTTATCAGAGACCCTTCCTTTACATATTGGTGCATAGGTATAGGTGTGCGTATGATGTCTGTCTGCACAAGTGACAAGTACATTTTAATCTTCTTACCCAGCGCTTTCGAGTGAGACTTTGTAATTAGCCAGAGAGTAAAGATATCTCCACTGTAAAGCTGTCACCTTCAGCCTTGTTGGCATTGTTACTAGGAAGCGAAAGAACTGGGTTGGTGTTGTTGTTGTTGGTTTGTTTCTTTGTTCGTTTGTATTTTTGCTAGATGACTTCGGATGTTACTGATTTTTAGGTTTCACCAGAGGCAGTTGATGAACCAAAGCCAAAACGAAGAGTTATCTTCTCTTGTTCCTGTGGAACCACGGGCTCCCCTTGGACCGGAGTACTCGGGCTCTGTTCAGGACCACCTCATAGTCCAGGAGAGTGGTAAGAAATTCGTTTGTCTTAATCACTTTTCTTCAACTCATTTATTTGTCGGGTACCAGGTCAGAAAAAAATACATTCTTGTAACTTTATTAGTATAACTTTAGTGATCATTTGAATCTGCTACTTTATATGTATGTATACACATATTTGTTATATGTGTATGTATATATATAGTGTAATTATTATATTTCTAATTTTTAAAAAAATGTTAACTGCTAGGTATGGTGGTTCATAACCTATAATTGCAGAATTTGGGAGGCTGAGGCAGGAGGATCACCATAAGTTTGAGGCCAGCCTAGGCCACATAGTGAGCTCAAGGCCAGCCTGAAGTGCATAGGGAGACCCTATCCCTTTTTTTTTTTCTTTTTGAGACAGAGTCTCACTGCGCAGTTCAGGTTGGCCTTGAGCTCACTTTGTAGCCGAGGCTGGCCTTGAACTCACGATGATCCTCCTGCCTCAGACTCCCGAGTGCTGGGACTTCAGGCGTGCGCCACCACTCCCAGAGGGAAACCCTATCAAAAAAAAAAGTCAAAGTACCTCTACTAGCATTGTCTAAATTTGAAAAAAAAAAAAAAAAAAAAATTCAAGAAAAAAAATTTCAAGCAAATTCAATACTGCATGTGACTCAGACTTTTATTATTGTAATTGTGTTCTTAAAAATGTTTGGTTTGGGGCTTTAGGCATATTATAGGAAATCACTGAAGGCATTTATTTTACTATATTTCAGGAATGAGGTTTCATTAAAAGGATACAACTAAGACAGCTTTTTCAGTATTTAGAGAGTTAAAGGATGCTCTGTTGATTCTTGTAGAACCTGTCGTCCAGGTCAATTCTTGGGTTGGGACAAGCAATAACGACGACCAGTTATATGCTGCTAAGAATAACTTTCCAGCCTCCGTGCACACTGCAAGATACTCTCGGAATGACCTGAACCTGGAAGACATACAGACAGATGAGGACAAGTTAAACTGCAGCCTCCTGTCTTCAGAATCTACCTTTATGCCAGTCGCGTCAGGACTGTCTCCAGTGTCACCTACAGTGGAACTGAGGCTGCAGGGCATTCACTTGGGCCTAGATGACGGTGCTGCAGATGAATCTCTGAGAAGGCTGGAGAACCAGGACGTGGGTGAGGAACACGAAAAGGCTGTATGGGGAACAAATGAGAATTCTGTTCAGCTGTTGAAAAATAAGATCAGTACAGAGGTGGATGGGAAGGGTGAGCTGTCATCTCGCCCCGAGCCAGTGGTAATTAGTGCTGTGTCACAGGATGACAGCCGCAGTCTGACAGGTTTTCCTGAGTCAGCCGGACACAGTGTCTGTCCCGCAGAGCCAGACAGTGAAGAAACGGCGTCCGAAACAACTTCAGAGAGACTTCCCTGCAGGATTGTAACTGAGCGAGCCGTTGCTTTGGGACAAGATGAGGTTTCTCTTCAGAAGTGCAACGAAGCAGTCACCAAGCTTCAGGCCTGCTGGCGGGGCTTTTATGCGAGGAACTACAACCCTCAAGCCAAAGAAGTGCGCTATGAGATCCGGCTGCGCAGGATGCAGGAGCACATTGTTCGCTTAACTGATGAAGTAAGGAGGTGGGTCACAAATCCTCTGTGCGCTCTTTTCTTGGTTTCTGGTGTAAATTTTTTTGTTGTTGTTGCTGAGGACCAAACCTTGTGCTTGCTTTGCCACTGGGTTGAGTTGTTTCCGAACAGTATGCTGCTGTGGTCACCACTTTTCATACACCTACCCACTCTTGTTTCGCTTGTTTGTCTCCTATAGTGTGCTGAGAGCATCTTGCGGGCACACAATGTCATGTGCATCTCCATCCCCAGCATAGCAATTGATAAATCAATCCATCTGTCTATGTATCTCTCTAGCTGTAAATGCAGTCTTGAAAAATGTTGACTAAATGTGAGGTGTACAGGCCTGTGTAATTCTGTACATAGAGAAGAACAGACAGCAAAGAAAAACTGGATAAATAAAAAATTTAAGGAAGTCTTACATAGAATCCAGTAAGTGACATAAGAAATAAAAATACCAAGAATTCAAAAGGGACTAAAATTCTGCAGCTACCATAGGAACTTTCCTTAATTCCATGGCCCACATGTTTTACTGATTATCAAACCAGAAAAATTAGGATTTCATTAGTACTGTATCAAGTTAATACTATCCCTTAGTTATTGTGGGCTGATCAGGTCCGCAATCTCCAAGTGAGTGTTCGGTGAAGGCTAAATAAAAGAGGCAAATGGAATGATTTCAGGGCTCCAGGAGGATCAGAGCCCTCTCACAGAATTTAGATTCTCTCAGGGCTAAGACCAAGACCTTCTCTGGGTGGCCCATACTTATTTAGTTACCAGAAGAAGGGAGGGGAATACTCGAGAAGGGCGGAATCACTCAAGGACTTCTCCAAGTAAGGTATTAAGTTCATCCACCCAGGAGTGAGATGCCTGAGGCTACAGTCTTTATCTAGTTGAGGGTGGATCCAGCTGTCCTTGGCTGTGACCTTGTCTCATCCTTTGAGGCTTTCTGGCTTCATCCGCCATTACCAGCCTCAGTAGGGATCAGTGACTCCCAGAAGTTCACTTACTATGAGTCCACTGCCCATCTCCAGACAAGGCCTTAGACAGACTCACAAGTAAACATAAAAAGCCAGTTGGTTAATTTAAGTCCTGCTCAGGGCTGCTTCGCAGTGGTCTCCATCACATTAATATTGAAACTAGCAGTATTTATTAATGTTATTAGGTGGAAACGGAAAGCAAGAAAAGAGGCCAAGAAGGAATGGAAGCGTGGGGTAGGAGAGGGTGTGTTCAGTTCTGTTGGGGCAGAGTGTTTCACAAGAGAGTAGAGGTGCATAGGAAGCACAGAGATTTCCAGCACATGTTAGATTTAAATGTCCTTAAAGAGCGCAGGGAAATTGTTCTGTTTCTGGTTACTCTTTACCACAGCAAAATCAATCAGATTAAAATCATCCAAAAATTACACATAATGCTTGAGGGCAGAGTCCAGGAGAAACTACATACAAGCTCCAATTGACCTACCCTAGCCGAACTGCACAGGCAGGGCTTAATTCCCACGGAGACGATTTGTGATGGCACAGCGCTGCCGTCCAGGAAGCGCACCTGAGCATCAGCTCCCAGGCGCTCCCAGACCTGGGGCTTCCTAGAGGGCAGCCTGATCGGCCACTGCCCGGGCCCGGCTGAACAAGACGGGTGTGCAGTAGAAGCCACGTTTCAGTAGAAACTGTGTGTATGACCCACTGTGTATATATATGTGCTTGAACTGGCTGTGAGATTTAATACGTTTGCTTTTATTAACATAAGATTTTAGTTTTAAGTTTTCTAATGAAATTTGAAATTTAGTATCTAAGATTTAGCAGAGAGTTGTGTTTTTAAGAAAAAAGATGTTAATGTGCGACTAGTTTTTTTCTAAACTAAAACCTCAGTATTCAGGTTTAATTGCAGTGTTGGCACTTTGCGATTACTAAGTGGGGTTTGGGTTAGTTTGGGTGCTCGTGAAAGTTCACCATCACTGATCCGTGTGAACGTGAGGCCCCCCATGGATAATGACAGGAATGGGGCGAGCGGAAGGCTGGCACTGAGCCGTCAGTGGAAGGGGGGGTAGTGGGGTGTCAGTACTTGACCGACGTCACAAGGAGTTTAGCAGGACAGCAGCTCACACGGGGGGAAGGTGTGCGAACGCGTCGAGAAGCAGTTTTCTGACCCTGGCGTGAGACAAAAAATAGAACTGAGTCTCGAGGAATAGTTCAGGGAGGCTGCGGGTGAGGGAGTTTGCGAGTTGTAGTTTAGGAACACCAGGTGGCACAAGAGAGTGTCTTGAGAGATGCGCTGAGGCTGTAGCTCCATGGGTGAGTGCTTGCCTAGTGTGCACAAGGCCGAGTTCAATGCCCAGTACCACAAAGAAAAAGAAATATCTTTGGGGCCAAGGACATAGCTCAGCGGCACAAGAGCCTGCACAGCAAGTGCCAGGTCCTGAGTTTGATTTCTGGTACCAAAAAAAAAGAGTAGTAGAATTCAGTCTTCCAGTTCTAAATCCTCTGTAGGCCGATTCTGCAGCACTCAGCCCACAGGCACCTAAAACAGAGAAAAGAGGAAAGAGAAGTGGGCTGCATGCTCAGAGAGGACGGAGAGCAGCTCAGTGGCAGAGCGCTCGCCTGTCACCCGGTGTCCTGGGTCCCATCCCCCGCACTGCCAAAAAAAATCAGAACAGAATAGTGGTGACGGTCTGAGTGATGATCCAGGGTGGCTGGGATTGGTAAAAGGCCTAGATAGGGAGATGGCAGCAATGACCCAAGCGAAGACTCTAAAAAACGAGGGAGAGCAAGGATAGGGGTGCCTGGCGGCGATATTTTATAGACTCCACGTCCGGACTTCCAGTCGCATCTCATTCAGCTGCACTTCGAGTCGTAGTTTAAAACTAAAGTTCCAGCTTCGATACTCTTTTTTTTTTTTTTGGTACTGGGAATCGAACTCAGGACCTTGCACTTGCCAGGCAGGCGCCTGTGCCGCTGAGTTATATCCCCGCCCCTCCCTTTTTTTTTTTTGCAGCTCCAACACTCTAAAAGTGGAAAAGGCTATTACTAGCTTGCTAATCTCTTGGCAGTGCATGTGCTTCATGGTAACAAGAAGTGCAAGTCAAAACAGCCTTGTATCTGTAACGTATTTTGAACTATTGTAGATTAAGAAAAGAAAGAGATGAAGAACACGCCAAAAAAGCTGTACAAGAAGAGGCTGTCAAATTTCTTTGGAACCAGGTAAACCTCCTCCTGCTTATTTCACAAACACGTGGATGAAGGAAGACTGTAGATGCGCTGGGCTAGTCCTGGAGTGGGCAGGCCTGCTAATCGCTTTCTCCCTGTGCCCGTCTCTCCCTGCGCTCCCTCTCTGAGCGTTTAACTGCGGGCCTTCCCCATGCCGGGATGCACTCTGCCCCGGGGCTGCCTTTTCTCCAGGTGAAGGTGTGGTTTTTGTTCTTTCCTACTAACTCTCAATTAGGACAGTGAATTTTGTTACATTTTATTTAACCTGGAGAAAAACGTTTGCATTATTTTGACAAGAAAACATAATATGAAGCCAGAGGAAAGTGGCTTCATTGAGAGATGTTAAACTGAGTTTGAAGTTTTACATAGCTATCTATGTAAAGAATATTTGAATGAAACATGACAAAAGGTAAGGCAGTACATGATGGTTACAGTGTGCGTGGCCTGAAAAGCACACAGGACTGCTTGGGAGGGCTTTGACTCCAATAATGGCGCGCTTTAGGGACAGGCAGTTGATTTTACTAATATATAGTGCATAAAGTACTTCTTGATGATAATTTTTTTGGAAAAAAGTTTTACAAAATAATTTGTTATTTGTCCTATAAAATTAATTTTTTTTATTTTTCAAGTTTCATGATTACTATCAGTAAGGGAATGGCTAAAGTATGGCATACAAATACTATAAAATACTGTGGAACAGTTAAAAAGAATAAGGCAACAATATGGACCAACATGAAAAAAATCTCCAAAATAATACTTTTAGGGAATAAAAACAAGACACAAAGCTTAAAGTTGCACTTGATTTTAAAAGCTTTCTAGCTGGGCATGGTGGTGCACGCCTGTAATCCCAGTACTCAGGAGGCTAAGGTAGGAGGATTGTTGCGAGTTTGAGACCAGCCTGGGCTACAAAGTGAGCTCAAGGCCAGCCTGAACTGCACAGTGAGACCCTGTCTCAAAAAGACTGAAAGAAAAAAAAAAAGCTTTCTATGTATTTGCAAATACACAGAGAAAGGTCTGGAAGGATAGACATTAAAGTACTCTAAGTGATTGCATGGAAGACAGTCAAAGAAAACCAAAAAATTCTCTATATTGCTTGCTTGCCTGCAGTTTTTACAGTAAAATTTTGACATTTCTACTTTTAAAATGTACAGTTCAAAAAAAATGTACAGTTCATAGTATCAGGAACTTGGGACCTTTGTAGGCATTTTAGAAAGCTGCATGTACTGTATTTCAGGTAAAAATTTTGAACTTCACATGGGTATCTAAAATGAGACTTAGCTGGTCAGTGTGTGTTCCGTAGATTATTAATCCATTAGTGAGCCGCGCACTGCCCAGCTTCTTGTTGGTACTCTGCCATGCCTAGGGTCTGGTGAGAACCTCTTGTCACCAAGAACGCGTATGGCCTGCGCCAGCCTGGGTTCGGCCCGGGCCCATGGAAAGGCTGCGGGGAGCCGGGCAGTTCCTTCCTGCGGGGTGTATTTGCAGTACATCATAATTCCACTGCCCGTGGAGAGGTAGTATGTGCACAGAACGCAGCTCCATGCTGCTTCTAACCCCTTTCCCTCTCTCTCCTCCTCTGTCTCGTCCCCTTTGCTTTTGCAGAAGCTCCATCTCCCTGCCTCCTGTTATCTGTCTTTTACTTTGCTCTTCCTTTGTATTTTGGGTTTCTCGTTTTAGAGAAATTATGCATCGGGTAGTTTTTGACTCTAGTTCTACCCCTTGCCAACTGCATTACTGCTGGAGAGAAGCTCAAAGACAGTTTTAAAACAGGCATGATTTTTATCTTACAATAACACTGCGTCCTCTGGTTTGTAGGTGAGAGCTCTGCAAGCGTGGCAGCAGACAGTGGACCAGCGCCTGGGTTCCCGGCACACGGATGCTCCTCCTGTATCCAGTACTCTGGTGCCAGCCGGGCCTCCTCCGTTCCCCCAAAGTCGGGAGCCCTGTTCTGATGAAATCTCCAATTGGTTCATGGCTTACGATGAAGCTCTTCAAGAGGAATCCCTGCCAGCGTTTCCAGACTCCGGCTTCCATTCCTCCCTAACAGAACAAGCTCACTGTTGGAAGGATTCCTCGGATTTTGAAAGAAGTTCCACACAAGGCAGTGAAAGCTGCACGGTGGGACATTCCGTCGACACGGTTACGGACGGCGGAGAGCCCGAGTCGGGGGGCGAGGGGAGCTCAGCCAGCGAGCAGGATCACAGTCTGCTTGAACGGTACTTACCCTCGGTTCAGCAGCGGGACGCCGCTGCCGAGAGGACCGGCGCTGAGGAGGTGCCGGCCGACAGCGGACCTCACTTGGCGCGTTCCCCGGCGAGGCTGGACACGCTGTGCCACAGGGCTGCTCCAGACGAGACTCGGGAGGAGAGGTCCCCTGCCGCGCAAGGGGAGGTCAGGCAGACAGCCGAGAGCTGCGAACTAGACGCGGAGGCGCCGGGGCAGCCCCCGGAACGCGACGCGGCCTCTCCGGTGTTGCGCGCTGGCGGCGCTGTGTAGCCCGTCTGCTTTCCTGGGAAGCGGCAATCCGCCTCAAGTTTCTCAAGAATGTTCTTTGTTGCCTTTTTTTTAAAAAGGGGGTGCAAATTCCTCTTACTTTGTTACTGTTTATATAAAATTTGTATTCTTTTTTCAGATTCTAGATAATCAATTTTTTAGCTATAATGTGCTATACTATTTATGTTGAAAGTTATATGTATTTTATTTCTTAACAGTTGTATCAGTGACTCTCAATTGTGTCAACAATTGCATCAAAAATGATTTATTTCTTTTAAAAAATAAATGACAGCAGTGGTGGCGAACCTATGGCACACCAGTTATTTTTCTTTTAAGACGAAAGGTGTTAATGTGTGAGTTGCTTTGCTGAACAAACACCTCAGCGTTCAGGCTGAAGTGAACGTGGGCCTCTGCGGCGAGCGTGGCCCTGGGCTGCAGTCCGGGTGCTCGCCTCTACAAGGTTCGCCATCACTGAGCTAGAATTTCTTAAAGAAAATAGACAAATTACCTTAACTATATAAATAGAATTTTGGTTCTTCTGAGAAAATGAATTGCATATTAAGGAATGCAACTTTTAAAATCAAATGTAAATGAAAATGTGAAGATTCTGAACTACAGAAATTTGCGACTGTCTCACTGGAGTCAGAAGGTGTTCTCCCAAGCCTTCCTCTGACCCGAGGAGAGCCTTCCTAGAAGCAAATTAAGGAAGAAAAAGTGCAAGGTACCTCTTTTTGCTTTCCTTTGGGTGCTGCAGATTGAACCCAGGGCCTCAAACACGCTAAGCACACGCTCTACCACTAAGCTCTTCCCTCAGCCCCTAAATGACAGGATTCTTAGTGATTAAATTGTCTCGTGAGAAACATTAGTCAATGCATCAGTCTTAACATACAAAATAAAATTTTCCATTTAAGATTAAAACCAAGCTACTTGGGGGGGGGCAACAAAGAACCTTTCTCTTCCATGAAAAAAGGAGATGTTAAGCTCCATTCACTTGGAATATTGCCATGGCAAATGTTTATGTTTTCATTGAGTGTTTTCACTTAGGGATAAGCATATATGTGCCAGTGTATTGCCAGAAACTAGTGTCTGTTCATCGTCAGTGTTTATAGTTCAGTATGTGTCAGCAGATGGTTCAGGGCCATTCACTTCACTTTTGACCTCTGCCACATAAGTCAAGAACATTTAAAATAATACTAGAGGTGGAATATGATTTTTTGAAAGAACTGTTTTCTGTCTATTCTCTGGAAGGTGCCACCTTTGAAAAACAATTTAATAGTAATTAAGAAAAAGGAAACCTCATTTTACTTCTTAGAAAGAAGATATACCTGTAACTTGAGGAAGAAATTTGATTGTGTTTGAATGCTGTAGGTACATTTGCGTTAGATACATTTGTAAATCAAGAGCAATTTTTGGAAGCTTGGTGTTTTAATTTTGTAGGATGTTCTAATATTGATGGATAACACATCTGATTTTCCCCAAACTATTGACACACATCTATTTAAAACTATGGCAATACTTAGTGTTTTCTCAGTTTAAGTGCTAAATGTTTCTTAATTATTCTGTGAAGAGTCAATAGTTTTCCTTCCTTGAAAGTATATAAGCCGGGCATGGTGGCGCATGCCCATAATCCCAGCACTCAGGAGGCTGAGGCAGGAGGATCGTTGCGAGTTCAAGACCAACCTGGGCTACAAAGTGAGCTCAAGGCTGGCCTGAACTGCATAGAGAGACCCTGTCTCAAAAAAGACAAAAAA